TTGGATTAAAATAAAATTTGGATAATAGCTTCATCTATCTTTTAAATACATTATTTCAAAAATTAGGTTATTCGATCTAATTTGTTTGGTGAACATAATTGATCTCTATGATGGGTCTATAAGAAATTTTTTTTTATGTTGATTTTAAGAATTGCTTGGTAATTTTAATCTAAAGGATTAGAACTTCCTTTTCATCCATAAATTTCATAAAAAAGACTTTGAATTTCATAGTCCATTAAGGGGTTCTAAATTCAATGGCCACAAACAAAAGAGTTATGAGCTTAGTTTTGTTCCAATTCTTCACAAAAACAATGTCAATTTGGTATTAGATCTAAAGTTACTTCCTTATGTGTTCTTAAACAATTTTGTGAAGATATCACTCAAAAAATAGTATCTAAGGCATGTTAAGATGGCTTAATTGGAAGAGGAGAATGCACATTTGGATGAGAGAGTGCAAGAGCTTGAAAGAGAGAAAGCCACGATTGAGCAAAAGGAAGAAGACCCAAGAGAAGGGCATTATTAGAGCAAATCCTTTTAGAGTTTTAAGATCCGACTCATCTACAAAGGATGGAAATTTTTTCTAAGCATCTAGGACATATTTTTAGAAGGCCGCAACCATAAAATTAATAATTTAGAGTTAAGGTCGACATACTTGACTTTGAAGGGAGACTTAAGCTTGATGATTTCATATATTGGATGGATACTATTGAAAGGGTTTTTAAGTTCAAAGAGGTTCTCAAAGATAAGAAGTTTAAGTTTATTACTATCAAGCTTACAAATAATTCTTTAATGTAGTGGAAGAACTTGAAGAGATAGAAACTTAGAGAAGACAAGTCAAAAATTGCTATTTAGGAGAAGATGAAAAAAAAAACTCTCAATCGTAAGTACCTTTTCGACTTGTATAAGCAAGAAGCATATATTTCACACTTTTAAACAAAGAGCCTTGAGTGTTGAGGCATACACCATTGACTTTGAAAAACTCATGCTTAAGTGTGAAATTTTTTAATAAAAAACAAACCATTGCTTGATTTTTGGGAGGCCTACGAATTAATATTGCTAGCATGGTTCATTTGCAGCAATACCATACTTTAAATGATGTGATCAAGTTGTCCTTAAAGGTTGAAAGACATCAAAAGACACCTAGAGAGAGTGGTGGTAGAGTTATGACTAAAGAAGTGTAATCTAGCCCTAATGCTTCAGCTTAGAAACTCAAGACCCAAAGAAAGGCTACAACCAAATAGAGACAATAAGGTTGTAGGTGGTTTCAATAAAAACACTTCGGGTTCAATATTAATGCTAAAATGTGTTTCAAATGCCATAACTTAGGGTACATTCTTTTGATTGTCCAAATTAAAGAGTGAGAATTGTAGTGATGAAAGCTAAAAAAGAACAAGCTTTGTTTGAAAGAGAAGCGTTCAATAGAGATAGATAATGAAGAAATTTTTAATGATGATGGTGAATCATTAATGATTCATAGAGCTTTTAATATCAAAAGTTTAAAGAATGAGGTTGGCTTTGTCATAAGCATCTTTTAAACATGATGCACATTACATAGAAAGGTATGTAACTTAGATATTGATGAAAGGAGTTATGAGAACATTGTATCTTTAACAATGGTAGAGAAACTCAACTTAATCACAATCAACCATCCTAATCCATGCCACGTGACTTGGCTACTAAATGGCAATTACATTAAAGTGAGAAAAAGTTTTCTCATGTGATTTTCAATAGGTGGAAGGTGTCAAGATAAAGTATAGTATGACGTGATTCTAATAGATGCATCCTATATTTTGTTAGGAAGACCTTGGCAATATGATCGACAAAATGGTACATGATGGATTAAAAATTACTTACTCATTTGAATTCAAGAGAAAGAAAGTAGTTCTAATGCATTAAAAGAAAGAACTAATAAGTACAAGTAGTCGAGGAGAATTGGTTTGTGAATCGATGTTCTTTAGAGCATTAGAGGAGCATGAAGAGGTCAAGGAAGAGGTTAAAGAGGTTAACTTTGAGGGTGTCAAAAGCACTTAAAATTCTAGCGAAGAGAAGGTGTTAATCTTGATGGTGCCGTTAACACTAAAAATTTTGATGGAAAGATCGAAGTTCTTATTGTTGTCAAAGAAGGCATGGTAGAGAATGATGTTCATGGGAGTCTTGAAGTCAAATTCTAGCAAGGTAATGATGAGAAAATATAACAAATTCTTACTAAGGAATTATGTAAAAGTTCTCCACACAAAGTTAGTATTCAAACATGAAAGAACTTTGTTGGTAATAATGGAGAAAGGCAAAATGTTTTGAACATTCCACTCGTCCAAACACATGAAAGAAAAAGACAAAAGGATCATATTGGCGACTAAATCATGAGAACTAATGAATGATCTATAGAGTTCCCGATGTGAGTTATATGAATCTTATTATATGGAGAAATTACTTGAGAAGGAAACATCTAAGTAGTTCTAAAGTGTTGCTTTATGATGATTTTATGTTTAATAACAATGTAAGTGGTGCAATTGTGAACTATGTTAATTGGAATTCACCTCTAATTTATGAATTGTATGATGATGATGATGATGATGAGCCTTATACTATTGATATTGTATTAAATATAGAGGTTAGAATCATACATCATGATGGGAAAAAGCATGGTGAGATGGTTGAGGTTGTAGGTGAAAAAGGTGACATGGATGATACTACTTATAAGAGTGATGTTATTACCGTGAGTTGTAAGGGGAATATAGTTTATGACGAAAGCAATAGAAAGGGCTTAGAAACTACCATGAGTGAGAATACATATGAGGAAGTTGCTACTATGAGGAAGAGAGTGAGAAAGAATGTTGTTAGGAAAGATAGAAAACATGAAGATCAAACAACAATTGCTAGAGTTGTTGAAAAGAAGGAAAATGACAACAATACTAAAATTTTCAACATAAAGAAGCCAATGATTGAAGTCATAAATTTTTGCATCAAGGAAACTTACAAAGAAAAAGGCTTAGTGTGGGTGAGCCTAAGGAAGAAGATATGAGAGTATGCTAAACAAAATGAATTTTCCTTTGAAGGTATTAAAACATACAAGAAATTGGATTGGATAATTTCATGATAACATGGATTAAGTAGACTATAGAGTTGGCTGCAAAGTAAAGACTACAATAGGTCAAAACTCGAGATCGAGTTTTCTTTAATTCGAAGTGCTTGAAACAGAGTGTGGTCCAAGATATTATGCTTTGTTAGGATAAGGTTATCTAAACATTATTCTTATCTTATGTTAGGATAAGTGACCTTAATCGTGGTTTGATTGTAAAAAGGATTCCAATTACTTTGGATTCCTAATTTAATTTAGATGAGGGAAGTTAGTCCTTATTAAATATAGATGAGATTTAAGTTTTCTAGTAGAATTAGGCTAAAGGTTTTTGTAGTCTATATTAGACAAGTTTTCTTTAGTCATTAGCCAATGTAATAATGGATGTTTATCCTTTAGTAGGGGATATTTATCCTTTATTGACTAAATACTACTATAAATAGGGACTTAATGCTTGTAGAGAAATAACTTTTCTATTTTGAGAATTCATAAAATACTTGAGAAGTTTTTCTCTAATGTGTTGAATCCTTGTTTTTAGGGTTTGTTGTTTACATCCTTGACTTTATCAACCAAGATGATTTTTTTTATCACAAACTAATCCAAAGGTGTAGTAGGGTAATCAGTCTCGCCAAAATCATCTAAGGTTAAACTCTAATAAGTTTGGCAATTAACATAGCTTGGCTTTATTTGTTAGTTTCTTTACACTCAAAATTCGATTTTATGATAGAATCTGGATAGATCTTTAACTTAATAGCAGAGGAGCTTAAAGTTATCGGATTAAGCTAAAATTTGGATAGTAGCTTCATCCATCTCTTAGCTATATTCTTGTAAATTTTTAGGTTATTCTAATTTGATTTGCTTGGTGAACACAATTGATATTTGTAACATATATGTAGGAAATTCTATTTGTATTGATTTCAAGAATTGATTGTTAGTTTCAATATAAAGGATTGGAACTTCCTTTTCATCTATCAATTTTACAAGAAGATTTTGAATTCCGTAGCCCGTTAAGGAGTTTTGAATTCGGCAACTCCAAACAAAAGAGTTCAGAGCTTAGGCTTATTTTAATTCTTCACAAAAATAGTATTAGGAGGAGGTGCACAAACATTCCAGATTTATCATTAACATATGTTTATTTTGCTAGTAGCGTTACAAAAAATCATTTTTGCTTATAAAGCCTAATTCCAGTTACAAGTTGACAACAAATAAAATCATATACATCTAATGATTTTTTCCAATTTCCAGACAAATAATTCTTACCAAAATCATTTGCTCAAAAAGTAGTATTAATTAGCTTGTGCCGTATAGTATTCATATATTTGTTAAAAGCATGTTAATTGCTTTTGATGAATATTAATGATTAAAATCTGATAATTTAAAGCAATATAAACTTAATTGAGATCATGATATATATAGTTGTGCAAGTAACATACGAAGCTTTTCTGGTTTTTAATTTGCTGACCAACTTTTATACTCTGTTTGTCAGGAGGTATTGGGAAAAGATAGTTTAAAAAGAGTAGCTGAAGAGGAGGGATTAGATGTATCATTTGTTTGGAAAAAAAGGATAAGGATTTTAGACTCCTCTAATCTCTTTTCACTTACAATTTTCAATCCTTCAAATTTAAATGGATTAGTTCCTATCCTTCTATTTCTTTGTAATTTCAATACTTTCAATATATATTGATTTTCCTCGTCTTGCTTCCTTATTAACCAAACAACTAGAAGAATAACCCCATCTTTCCTTGTGTGTGCGCGTGTATATATATGAAACGACGCAGCTCTCTTTAACATAAGCATTCATTATTACATCATCATCTCATCCATCGGATAGGCAAACGAGTGGATAACCCCTCCCTTCTCACGCTCTGCACCGCCACCAGCACCACCACCACCTAAGCTCATTAACAAATTCGCCTCTCTAACAATGTCTGCTGCTGTTTCTGCTTCTACTTCTCTTTCTTTCTCCTCCTCCTCTCTTTTCCTCTCCTCTTCTCATAACAAAATCCCCAAACTGACCTCCTCATCCACATCTAAACCCCACAATTCCCTCAAATCCCTCTCCATTTCTTGCCAAGTAGCAACCCTTCCAATCCTCTCTTTCACCGGGGAAAAAATCGGCGAAACGTACTTAGACCTCAAGTCGGCCCCACCCGAGACCGCTCGTGCTGTCGTTCACCGAGCAATCATCACAGACCAACAAAATAAGCGCCGCGGCACGGCCTCAACTCTAACCCGCAGTGAAGTCAGAGGTGGCGGCAAAAAACCCTACCCTCAAAAGAAAACGGGCCGGGCCCGCCTAGGTTCCATGCGCAGCCCACTTCGCCCCGGTGGTGGCGTAATCTTTGGGCCCAAGCCCAGAGACTGGTCAATCAAGATAAACAAGAAGGAAAAACGGCTAGCCATCTCGACGGCTTTATCAAGTGCTGCGAGTGAGAAAGAGAGCGTGATTTGTGTTGAGGAATTTGGGGAGAAATTTGAGAAGCCGAAAACGAAGGAGTTTATTGAAGCAATGAAACGTTGGGGATTGGACCCGAAAGAGAAAGTAATGTTTTTGACGATGGATGTTAGTGATAATGTGGGATTGTCGAGCAGGAATATTGGGACTTTAAGGATGTTGACGCCTAGGACTTTGAATTTGTTTGATATTTTGAATTCGGATAAGTTGGTGCTTACGTCCGATACTGTGGATTATTTGAATGGTAGATATGGAGTTGATTTTGAAGGAGAGACCGACGAAGATGAAGAGGATGATCAAGATGGAAGCGAAGGTTAGGTTTTTTTTTTTTTTTTTTTTTTTTTTTTTTTTTTTGTAGTTGTAGTTATTAGTTTTGAAATTTAGGATAGCATTTGGCGTAATTGAGAAGTTCTAACACCTGAAATGTAATTGTCTGGCTTCAAATTAGGTTCTGTTACTCTCATAGGCTATGGTAATTTTAAGTGAGTTCTAAACCATATGACTATGCGAAACGTAGATGATGCATGGTCTTCTAATGAGGTGGAAAGTAAGTAATCCAACATCAGCATTTGGCAATTGTCCTTTAGGCCTGTGCTTGTGCTTGTTTCTTTATATGTAAGAGCTGTTAGTTAAGGCTCTGATTCGTTATATTTGTCACAAACATTTGTGGGTTTTTGTTTGAATGTCTTATTGAATGCTGTCATTGTTTGCTGATTCCACATGACTGTATACTTGTTTCTTTCTCCTGTTTTTGCAATTCTCTCCTTTTAGTTCTCTGCTATTTTAATGTGGCTACTGTTTTCTCGTTGTGATGCCTCTTTGATATTCTTTGATGGTTATCTTTTATTTGTTCTTGCTCCTGAGATGCAGAAACTGAGGGAAATGAGAATGCTGATGCAACAGACTGATGGTGCAGAACTTTTTAACCACCTTGACCTAGGATCATCTCCCTCCATATAACCATGAAGATGGTTCTGTTGTGCTGAAACAGACTGTTCTGCCATTTTCGAGCTGCAGATGAATCTTGTTGCAGACTTATTTTCGGTATTTCTTCCATGTACTGTTTTGTATCAATTTACACATTCTCTTGGTTGAAAAAATGTATCTATTTAGGTGGGTCACATATTTTGTTATACTATCTGAGTATTGCTTTTCTGTTCAGCCTTTTTTTTTTTTTCCCATCATAATGTTGATTTCTCATCTTTTTACTCTTTTGCAGGCTTCTATTGTTCCGTTCTTGTTTTTGGCAATCCACATCTTTATAAAATGCCTCATGGATTGCCAATTGTTAGAAATGGAGCAATAAAATTGAGATATTACTTAATATTTATTGCCCATTAATCTAGGAAGCAAATATCATGATTCATGAAAAAGGTTGGTGCCTGTAAATTTTTTAAACAGAAAGTTCAGGCAACAAGATTAACATAGAGCTGGTAGTGAACAATTTTTTTATAAGTCGATGAGAACAGTATCCAAGATATAGCAATTATTCCATCTTCTACTGTTAAGTGTGTCTAGAGCCTTGATCTGGTAGTTAGCAATAGACATTTTGGTTACCATGTGCATCTCAAGTTTGAGTCTATCCATTTTCACATACCATGTATGAGATTGTATTAAACAAATATATGATACAAAAACAGAGTCACTGATTAATTTTGAACTTGTCAACACAGCTTCTTTATTTGTTGAATTCTTCTATAACATGTGTTTTAGTCTTTTAGAATTCTCATGATACGCTTAGGGATACTTACATCATGTGTTTTGTAAGATTTCTAAAATTCTCTTCATATGCTTGGGGAATGTGCATTAATGTTACCACTCCTGTGTACTGAACAATTTTGTGCTTTGAGTAAAGTCCGTTTTATTTTGAAATTGGCTTGTGCTATGATCTTTATACTATCTTGGAATACTTGAACTCAATTTGCCTTCTGAGCCACATAACTTGTTGTAGTGAGGCACTCGACTTACTTTAGCATCCTTGAATTAGTAGTTTACTCTTTGTGCCCTCTTAACTCCTAATATGATGCATCCCATGCCTGATTTGCTTCTTCTTCTTATGCTTTTACTTGCAGTACTTTGGCCCACATCAAGGTCTTTCTTTCTTTTGCAGGCTTAGTATACTTGCGTATCGTATAAATTGCCTCAGGTTTCAAGATTGATGTAGGATTTTAGGTACTACTCTTAATTTGATACTTTGATATAGCTGTCGAGTTGGGTTTGAATGCTCAACTACTATTTTTAGTTTTTTATTTAATTAGGTGGTGCAAGTGGGTTAATATTTTATTCGTAAATATTTTTTATGGTTTTGTTAGAACAGTTGTATTTTAATGATGATTGGACTGTATAAAGCACAGGAAACTTGGGAAAATTATACTGCCTGGAAGCAATAAATGATATACAAAGTTCAGATGGTGCCTGGTTTTTTACACATTCTAGTGCATATGCCTATTTTGTTGAGGTTCTCGACAATTGGTTTTCTAGTCTTGTAGAATTCTCTTGATATGTTTTGGGATGCGCATTGCATTAATTTTGAACAAAAGAACTTAAAAAAAAAACTAGCTGATTTTTTCCACGTGTGAATTTGCACTTGAGTTTGCCTGAGTACAATTAATATTAAGAAAGTGATTTAGATGAGTTCAAGTGATATTAAGAAAGTGGTTTAGAGAATGCTAGTGTTGTTGTTCCCTCCTTGATGAAACAGAGCAGTTTAGGGCAGTTTGTTGGATTTGACTCGTCCATGTGCTTTCAGAAAGAAAGATCAATATCGATTATATGCCATCGGGGAGTGAGCACCAACTCTGAAGCAGGTGGTATGATTTTCAATCTCCAATCCCCTTTGACTTAGCCAAGGGAGAAAAGAGCATCAGCGCTTCTTTCATCTTTAATCAATCAATATTGTGAATTTATATAAGAATAAGAAGGGCTTTTTTTTATATAAAAAAAAAGGTTTCAGTCGATAAGTGTTTTTTTTTCCTTTGGGAACGCCATTGATATATGATACATAATTTTTGCTCTTTGGATTCAAAAATATGATGGATAAATCACCCAGGTTCGGGTCCATAAGCAACGACAATTGGTCTATGAAGACTAGGTTTCAATATAAGTGTGGTGGGTTCTTTTAACCAAGCCATTGTCGATGAGTTGGGGGCTTATTCTTCAACATGCACATAGTCAAGGCCTTGGGAGGGCTCTTCCCACTGCTTGAGAGTTTACGGTTTTATGTTCTATTTCACTCGTTCGATGGTGGGTTTTTTCTCCTCTCTCTCCAGGCACCACTTGGCTATTTGTCACTCGGGAGTACTTAGCCTAGCAAGGTGGATCTTGCTAATTCACACGGAACTCCACGTGCCTCATGCTACCCAGGTCAGAGCAATGCTTTCGGCTAATTCAAATTGAGAAATGCATAATGATTTGATAGATAAGATTTCTTTCTTCTTTCTTAAAAAAGAAAAAAGAAAGAAGAAGAAGAAGAAGAAAAACGTTCCTTTTCATCTGGGAATTCATGAAATTTCTTATTTTTATTATATACATGTTTATTATTATATGTTTGTTGTTGTTTTGAGAAAGTTCTAAAATTATTTACAAATAATAAACGTGTCATCCAACAAGAAATTTGATTGAAATTGGATCACATGATCACAATGGGGAGGTGCTTTTCCAATGTCGGTGGCTGAACTTCAGTTCAATTTGTTTCTGATTCATGAGAAAGAGAGCATTTTATTTCACTTAAGAAGACGAGTTCTGTTTTGTAGGAATAGCTTATGCAAATCTGACAGATAAAAGTACATACTGCAGCAGTGGAGGAATATTCATCGGACTAATTTCTTCAAAATATGTATGATCAATAGTGCTGGTTTCAAATACAAAATCATTGTACTAAAACTTTAAACGGTTCTTTCGAAACATTACTGCCAGCAAGACTACCTGGAGAAAGACAATACATGAGCAAGACCACTGTCTTAGTTGCAAGGAAGATGCAACTTGTACAAGTATATTCAAGAGTTACATATTTTGTTTGTTGAGCATTTCACTTCCAATCAACTGAATTTTTTTGGTTCAACAGAGTCTATTCAAGGGTGCTCCTTTTGAGATCTTTGTCATGGAAGAAACATAGCTGTTGAGGCAAACGTACTGATTTGTGTAATCATTAGGATATTTGGGTTCCTGGATATATAAATGGAATATATTCAAGCACATTTTATTGATTTGCAGAATATTAACATAGCTACTAGGTCCATACTTTTTGTCTATGTTTGGATTGAGATTCTGAGAACACAAAATGTTAGTTGGACTAGGGAAGTACTGGGATTGCAACTTTGCTTTAGTTCTTCTAGCTCATTACGTAGCCTAGAAGAATAAAGTTTATTCGATTATCCTTAACGAAAAGCACACCAATTCAGAGAATCAAGTACAAGTTCAGTTATGTATAAAATTAGACAGCTATTATATGAATAAAATCTTATAATATATAGAGTCCTAAGCACCGAGTGTGACAACTGACAAAAGGAATATTGTGTCCTAACGATTTGCCTGATATGCCAAGTTCATAAATCGAATAAAAAGTAAAGTCAGAGACATTAAAATTCTATGATGCAGCATTACTTCACATTGCACAGAGTTTAGTGCTCAAATATAATAAATTGCACTTTTTTTGAAACAAACAGACAACATGAGCACGTAGTAAAGCAAATCAAATATTTTAAAGAGATGCAAAAGAACTATCTAGCTAGAGCATGAGTAACCGAAGGAATATTTTGTATAGAGAAGGTTCTCGTTACAGATCCTCTGTAATCCAATCAGATAAAGTCCTTGCTGCCAAAAAACAAGACAAGCTCCCTTTTTACAAATCGGATCATACATACCCACTTTACTGCATGCTTTTTCTTACCATCCTACATAGTAGTAATGCTCCTCTAACCAAACACAATTTTGCACAATATTAAAATGAAAATTGGTGAAGAAAGTGCAGATCTTGATGATCCACGCTCTCGAGTTAAACATATCTCAGAAAGGCATGCATTGCTGAAAAAATGAAAAGTTTAACGTGGACAGGTGAGTGCAACATTGTCAGTCTCTGTCTTTGTGTTGGCAAGTCAAGTATCAGATCAACCACTACCCTGATACATGTCACAAATAGCTTGCACGCTCGGCTAAAAGTCTAAATTTACACCTGTGCCTTCTGCTGACATATCTTTTCGATTTAAATGTCTTTCCATGCCGTAAAGAAAGGGATGATATATAGTTTGAACATGTTAACAAGTGGTGCCCAACTAATCGACTTGATGTTGTTATACATAATCCTGCATATCACGTTTTATTCCTACCTTGATTATTACTGCAAAGGAAATCAATAGCAGGACAAACAAGATTTTGGACAGTTGAAATTAAAGGTATAAAAAGTCAATTTACAATCAGATAACAAATTTGATATATTGCAATCAGCATCGATTTGGCCAATCTTAGTGCGATGCTCCACCTATTATGTTGTTTCAATGAACTCACTATACATTTGGTAGGAGAACATTTTGTCTTTCGCGTCCACATAAATATAAAGAAGTTTTACTATAATTATGTTAGGCCAAAACTTAAAGATATCTCAAAGATAATGCTCATAAAATGGAACTATGCCACCTCATCATAAAATTAATGGAGGATCAAAATTTAGATTTTAAACTAAATGACTCTTATCAATAAGTTTTTGATCTAACGATACATAAATTTGGTTTTAAATAATTTTTTCGTTAATGTCCAAAGTTTGAATTTTAGAATTATATTCGAAGAAATTAAATTTTATAGTTCATGTCTCGAGTATGATTTATTTATGTTTAATATGAAATGAAAATACTTCCAAGTAAAAAAAAACTAAATGGATGTTTTGTTTTATAATTTGAACAAACTCCCTAACACT